GGAACCCCCGGGAAACGAAAATCCCTCCAGAAAAAAAAAAAAAAAAGAAAATGTCTGTGAAAAGAGAAATTAAAAGGTTGAGAGATGAAGAAAATTAACCACTTAAAAAAAGAGCACAACTTTATTTTCAAGATTTTGAAAATAACATTCTTGGGGCCAGTGCGTGGCCTGGTGGTTGAGGTGCTGGACTCCCACATGGCCACCATGGTTCGAGTCCTGAACCTGGTGGCTTGCTTTCTCACTTTCCCCCTTTCTCTATGTGTGTGTCTCTCTCTCTGGTAAGATTAAAATAATAATAATAATAATAATAAATAAAATTTAATAAAAATTAACATTCTTAAAGGTGCTAATTGTAAACCATACACAGCCTCTCAGTTTTAGTGATTAAATAACCAATAGGTTAAATTGCAATCTAAAGGGACAATAAATCTGAAAAGAACTTGTGAAGCTGCTTGTAAAATAACAACAGTTATTAATCTCAGTGATGGTAAAAGTTTCATTTGAGGGGGCTGTCAGGTGGCATGGTGTTTAAGGGCACTGGACTCCTACATGGCCAACTACAGTTCAAGTCCTGAACCTAGTGGCTTGTTTTCTCACTTTCTCTCTCTCTCGCTCTGTCCCTCTCTGGTCAAATAAAAATAAATTAATAAATAAATAAAGTTAAATAAAATAATTCTTTTAAAAAAGTTTCATTTGAAAAATACATCTAAATCTATCTCTATCTACCTACCTACTTACCTATTTGAGTTTCTAGGTGACTGACAATTTTGAATAAGTAGTAATTAAGAACTCAGCATATTACAGGAAAACACTTAATACATGGATAAAAATGAACCAAGAAAGGTTTACCAAGTGGTTGGCGAGGCTATACATATTCAAAATTGTTAAGTAAATTATAGGTTAAATGCCAATTTCCTCCCAGTGGCTGATTAACTTTGGGCAGGGAAGCTTAAACTTCGCAGGGAGGTTAGAAGAACCTGAGCTCTGACTTCAAGAAGTCGTGGATGAATTCCAGGATGATATGCATGACTATGTTAGGAGGGGGTCTTTCAAAAGCTCTTGAAAGATGTATATTATGACAAATCTATGCGTGCCTTTCCACAGTTTTTTTGCACCCAAGTAAACATTATCTAGCTTGTTATAACATGTCTGGACAAGATCTAGTTTGAGACCTAAGAAGGAGAAGACATCAATGTGAAAATAGCCCTTTTAAGAGCACCAAAATCCTGCTAAAATTGAAGCTAGAACAGTATCAGTTATATGGGTGAAAAAATGATGAAATCATCAATGTTTTACAAAAAGTTAATGGCGGTGATGTCCCAAAGAAATCAACAGTTTACAGGGCAGGTCAGAGATGTGGTGGTTAAAGCAGTGGCTGAGGCAGCTAGATCCCACATGACCAACTGTGCAGTTTGTGTCCCAGATCTCCTGGCTTGAAAATCATGCCCGGGATTGTAAATCTGACATGTGTCCTGGTGTGTTCTGGGACCAAGTCATCCAAAGTTATGCTCTAAACCTCATCTTCTAGACTCCTGAAACACTTAGACAAGGGTCATTGAAATCCTCTATGCTTATTGAACTTCCTGCTTTAAGGGAGAAACTTCTTTTTATATATCTGAACTAATAATCTTTTTCTGTGGATACCACATTGCAAAACAGTAGAAGAGAGATTTTTTGTCACAAAATAACCAGAAACCACTGCGGAAGCACAAGAAATATGAGAAACCAAGGAAATAACTCTCATAGAATTTAGAATATTCATAGTGAATAAAGTAAACAAGATGCAAGAGTTGAGAGATAATGAACTCCAGAAGATGCAGGAGAAAAGAAACTAGTTCCTGAAGGTGAGGAAGTTTTTGCACAATCTGAAAGAGGAACTACACACCATAAAAAAGAATCAAGTGGAGCTGTTAGCGATGAAGGCTGAAATACAGGAAATCAAAACCTCCCTCGAAAGTATTAAAAGCAGATTAGTTCATGCAGAAGATTGAATCTCGGATGTTGAAGACAAAACCTCTGACCTAGAAGAAAGCAACCAAAGAAAACCTAGAAAATTAACCAAAAATAATGAGAATACTCTATGAGAAATACTCAATATCATTAAGTGCCCAAACATCTGGATAATCGATATCCCAGAAGGTAAAGAAACTAATAAAGGTATTGATATTCTATTCCATGAAATCCTGGAAGAAAACTTTCTAAATCTAGAGAGGCATTCAAATATCCAGACTCAAGAAATACAAAAGACTCCTAATAGAATCAACCCAAGATCTTCTTCAAGGCACGTCATAGTCAGAATGGCAAAATCCACAGACAAAGACAGGATACTAAAATCAGCAAGAAAGAAACATCAAGTTACTTATAAAGATTATCCCATCAGGCTAATATCAGACCTCTCATCGGAAATAATGCAAGCAATGAAGTAATGGAAAAATATTTTCAAAGTGTTAAGTGAAAATCAATTCCAATAAAGAATATTATATCCGGCAATAATATCCTGCATATGGGAAGAAAAGATAAAAACATTTTCAGATAAACAAAACCTGAATGAATTTAACAACAGGTCTTCAAGAAGTTCTGAAAGGAGTACTTTGCCAGGAAAATTAAAGGCACAAATACAGAATAAGAGAACAAACAGCAACCAAGAAAATGATCACCTTAATGCTAGGAATAAGAAAGATCAATAATAATGTTGAATGTTAACTTCCAGGATTTAATTGGAAAGACAGGACCACAGTAACACTGCAAATTCAACAGAAGAAAGGTTAATTACATAAGACTGAACTGGTGAAATAG